TCATTTAGTTTAGGCCTACATAAGTAACTGCTTCCTCTTCCCTTTCTAACACTTGCCCATCTCCTTTGAATCTACTATTAACCTTCAAAATCAAGGAATGGGAATTGAACTTCTTTTTTTTTTTTACTTCTTATTTTATTATTAATATTGACAAGACAAATAATAAATTTTTTTTTTTTTTTTTGAGTAAAGTTTGACGAAAATAATTTTTACTTCACCTATGCAACTTTTTTAGGGCAAATATTATCACAATTTCTACTCTTAAAATATTCAAATTAAAAAAGAGTAATTGAATTTTCTAAGAGGAATAATTCAATTATCAATGAGTTTTTTTGTAAATAGAGCTTTACCTATACAGTATACTTGTCACATACAAAGTTGTACCTAAAAAACTTGTGGACTAGGGGGTATCTCTTAGTCCTTTGTACTAAGATGAAAAAAAATAGTCTTTTCTGATTTACAAATACTAGAATAGTAAAATAATATTTGAATGAGGGTGAGGTCTCTACTTTTAAGCCTATGAAGAGGGAGATCCACTCAAATCCATAAATTATTCCTTATATTAAGGGAAATAATAGCTCAAACTCGCAAACATTTTCTCTATACTTAGTGAATAGTAATATCTCTAACTCGTCGATCATTCTTTATATTTGGGAGAATGTGATATTTTAAATCCATTAACCATTATTTACTTAAATAAGAGGTAATGATATGATATGACCATCGATGAGTAGTTTAAAACTTATATTTTTTCTTTAAACATTTTACAGAGATTATCGATAATTCTTAAGACGACACCACATTTAATGTAATTCGTAAACTCACCTTAGCATGTACAATAAATAAACAGAAATAAAAATAAAAATTTAAATTATTATAGCAAATAGTAACTCACCTATAAAATTGAGTCTCACACGCTATGTTACATAGAGTAAAAATACAAAATAAATAGTTGATCCTTTTTTTCTCTAAATATAATCATACCAAGACAAGTGCAGTGTGCTTAAAGACGACCTAACATCTAAAAAATCATTATACTTTTGTAGAATTTTCATTAAAAATTCAACAAAATCTCTATAATAAAAGTATAAAAAATATTATAATAATAGTTTTAGGTAGGCGATCAAACTAGTCAGATATTAATTTCATCAAATATTGTTCAGATTGACCTCCACATATTTAATTCTCATCCTCCTCAGTATCCATTGTCAAATTAATATATAATCCAAACATGTACTTGGGCATATAAATTTACATGATTACACAATCTTGATTGTATATGCTTATGCATCTAAATTAGGTCCACTAAGATAACGTTCTTGCACATTTTCATAGGCATATATAAATAGTTAACATACATGTAAGAGCATTCATATACCCTCTAATATAATAACTCATGCACTTATTTTTAAATTCATGTACATTTGCGATAAGCTTACACTGCTATAAATTTCATCAATATTCAGATGCACACATATATATGTCAATCATAAATCAAGTAACCACACATTTAGTTTGGTAGCACAAATTTAAATATCACTTAGCAATAATAGTACCAACTTTAGATAGTCATAAATATCGGAATTAAAAATAAATCCTAAAATATCTTAAGATTTAAATAGCTCATTGAGTTGCTCAAAAGCAATATACACGTCAATCAACATTGGCTATGTCACAATATGGGTGACTTAATGCGAAAGACTTTATAAAAAAAATAATAAAACAAAATGACCATTAATTTTATTGAAAGCATGATTGAATGTTATGACATATATTAGTAAAAATTATAAATTTCAAGTCTAAAATAGTATCTGAAGAAAACATGTGAGATATTTATCTTATATTGTAAACTAAATATGATTTATATGTGATTTATTAGTGATTGAAGTGCGTGAAAGTGAGATGGATGATAAAATCTACTTACAAACATATTTTTCAATTAAAATATGAGTTGAAGAATGCAATAATATTAATTTCCAAGACTCGGTTTCAATATAAGAAAATTATTTGCTTTAAGCGTGGACTGAGTGCACACGAATACTAAAGAGTAATGATTTGCACATTGGAATGAAATAAAAAGGAGAGATAAGAAAGACTACTATGTATTCCTATCACTCAAGATCATTCCCCAAAAGACAACATTTTGGAAGTTCTATGCAAGAAGAAATTAGGTGAATTAATTAGTCAATATCTTAATTTTATCCCCTGGATAGAATTTTTCATTATAAAAAATTGTGTTCTCATTATTATTGATATTGACAAGAATTATGGTGGATAGAGTTTCATAAGTTAAGTTTTGATGGAAAAGCTTAAATGTTAACTTTTGATGCCATCAACTATTTTCTCTAGATTTACTATTTTTTTATGTTGCAATAAAGTTTTTAATTTTTAAATAAATTATTAAATTAGTTCTAAAGGTTAACATTTGTTAAGTTTGGTTCTTAATACTTTTTCGTAATAATATAATTTATAATATTTTTTTATTTGTTTCAACCTCTCAATTTTTTTTTTTAGTTTTCTAACTAAAAAATTAAATAGTTCGAATTCTTTCACTTTAAAAATTAACTTAAGAAATAATTTTGACTAATTAATTAAATTATTATTTATGGTATTTTTTTAAATATTCAAATATAATATAACCATTTTAAGTCTTTTTATTAAAAAATAAGAGAAAATGAATATTTAAAACAAATAAGAGAAATAAAAAAAGCAATTATAACAAGAAAATATTAGAAACTAAATTATAATAAATATCAAAATTTATGATTACTTTAATAATTTATTCTCAATTTTTTTTAGATAACTTATTTTTTAGCACTAACAATTTTACTCTTAATTATTTAATAAAACAAAAAATTTAGTTTCTTATTTTTTTTCCCAATATTCTCATTTGTTATTTTAATCTCCTATAATTTAAATCTACCATCTTATATTTATTTTTTACCCACAATATTCTGATTTTCTCATCTTGTTTTTCAAATTTACACAGGAATGAGTAGAAGATTCAAAAATTCATCACAAAAGTATGTGTCTTCAACTTTAATGTGTATTAAAAATTGAAGCTTTTAACTTCTCAATTTTCATGTACCTTGAAATTTCTAATGTACTTGTAAGTAATTAATAATAAGAGTAATTAAATAAATTTTTAAGTTTTACACTTACTGTGATTTAATTTTTAATATTTTTTTATTACAATTTGTTCTGTCTGTTTAAAAATTCAATTATTTTTCATTTTCTAACGAAAAAACTAAAATAGTTATGTAAAATAATTTGAAATTGTTACTTTAATTTAATTAATTAGTTAAAAACAAGTTTAAGTTATTTTTTAAAATATACATGCCTAATTATTATTATAATTTTTTGGTTAAATATGAAAAAAGACTGAATATTTAAAATAAATGAAAAAAGTAAAAAACAAT